AAAATAACAGCACCCAAGTCATCCTTATCCTTAGCTTGAACCTGAGCTCATTAATATGTATGTGGCTGATAATAAAAAAGCGCTTCTCAAAGCGATGTCTCTTAGGATGTTTGAAAGTTAAACCAAAAGAAATACTATCTAATAGATTTTATTAAGACAGCACTGCCAGTTTTCCCCAAGTTTGTCTTGAGGGTTAAATTGAGACACAGTAAAATGTGGGTATTTGTGGAAGTCCTTAAAGGCTGGGCGGGTTGTTACTATAACTTTTAACAGACAAGTGCCAAGGGAAAACTATTTTACAGTAATCACGCGTGCCCTTACAAACTTGCTTGATTCCTTTCAGAAACTGACGATACCCATTTCTGGCTTAAAATATACATTTCTAAGATTATCTTGGGACAGTCTTTTCTCATCCTACTTCACACAGGGAAGATGTAACTAATATAAATACAACACACACATGAATGCAGGGGGTGCTCTCCTCATAACTTGCCTGTCATAGGACACTTTAAAAAAAAATGGTAGGGGCAGTCTCTCCTGAGCACTGTGATGAACAGGGAGGCTAGAAATTTTGTCTGTATATATGAAACATAGGATAGGAAGTTTTCCCAATCGACTCCAGTTCACAGGGGTAAGACTACTACTATGCGCTGTTTCATTTTCCCCACCAGAGAGTGATTAGCTTGCTCCAGTCTACCTATCGCTGAGTTTCTTTTCCTGGGACCTGCAGTAACCTTGACTGACAGCAAGAACACTGCCGCATGGATTATCTACTTAACAGGTTACTTTCAACCAGGCTCTCTGTCCTGCTTTGTCAGCTTCCTCTAAGTCTTTATAATCCTATTTAAAGTGCCTGTCACTATAGACGCTCATTTGCATGAAACTGATTGTTTACATATTTTCGTGGTTGAAAAAAAAAAAAGATGTGATTTGAGAAATTCTGGCTCTTGACTCTGTGTTATTAAGTATTTGATAACCCGTCTCCCAACCCACCAAAACCTTCAGGCAGCACAGCCTGTTAACGACTTCTCTGTCTTTATGGTCACAATTAAAAGTTGTGTAATCAATTACTTAACAGCTAAAAAATTATCTTCCCTGTAAGAACCATAAACCCCCTGAGTCTAGGACCATGTCCATTACTTGTCTATTACTCCACAGGCAGTGAATGGTTCATTACAATGTGTAATTATTCATTCAAAGCACAGAAGCACCAGGCTCCCTTCTAAGCACTAGGAAGCTAAAAGCTGACAAAACTACATTTCTACCCTTATGGAGCAAACATTCTGATGATGGGGAGGAAGAACAAATACAGTAGGGAACACATAAGCCAGGCATGATCTGCAATGTGATAAAGGGGGAGAAAAATGACACGAGGGGGTGTCCAGGAGCAGCTTCTTTTAAGGGACATCTGAACCATGTCCACTTCCCAGGGAAAAGCAGGCTTCTGTTGGGTTGTCAAAGAGAAGCAGAAAAGCCAGCATCATAAGCAAGAGAAAGAGGGAATTGGGGAGCTGTGGTCTGAAAAGGAAGATATGGCTGGGACCAGTTAGGAGACTGTGGCAGCAATTCAGTAAGAGGTGACAGTCGCTCTAACAAGGATGGTGGGAGTCAGGGTGGGGAATGGGGTTAGATCTTACATAGATTTAAAGCAGAGGCAAGCAGATTTGCTGACTGATTGGATGTGCGGTATGAACGAAAGGATGGATTCAAGGATGGTGCCAGATTTGTTTGGCCTAAAGCAATTGAAGAAGAGATGATTTAGTTTGACACAATGGAAAGACCATATGTGTCTCCTAATATTCACTAGACTAAAGAAAGACTCTTCATTTTCTTATACATGCTTTAGTAACTAGGGTCAACCCAGAAGAAATAAAAACTGCAGCTCTGAATGCAACCAAGTGTTTGGAAATCAAGCCTCGTATTCCAAAATTAATTGTGTTAAGGAAGAAAGCAAAGTGAGTGTTTTTACATAAAGCCAACTAAGTGTTGGCTTTGCTACAACTAAGTGTTGTAGCAAAAGCACAACCCATCAAAATTTGTAGGATGAAGGTGTGTGTGGCATTTGAAGTTAAATATTAGCCTCAAATACTTCCATAGTTTTTAAAGACATTTTCATTTTAAATCTCTCTCTCTCTCTCTCTTTGTGTGTGTGTGTGTGTGTATGTGTGTATGTGTGTGTGTGTGTGTGTGTATGTGTGTGTGCCTATGTGTCTATGTGTGGGTTTATTCTATTTACCATGCATGTGTAAATGGTTACACCTATAGTCAAGGGCTGGGGAATGTATATATTTTATTTACTTTATTCTACCAAATACAAATGGTTGTACGCTGCCAGATGTGAGTGCTGGGAACTAAACTCAGGTTCTCTCCAAAACAGTATGTGCTTTTAACTGCTGAGCCATCTCCCATACCCTCAAATACATATACTAAGAGACAATAAGTGTTTAAAATCAATGATCTGAAATTTCACATTGAAAAGTACAAAATTATCATAAATTAAATCCAAAGTATAAAGAGGAAAGTATTCAAAATAAGAGCAGGAGACAATGATTTTTAAGTCAGCAAAGAAAATTGTTTCTTAGGAAGATTCTTAAAATAGGTAACTTCTTAAATAAACTGATTAGGGATGTTGACAGTTAATAAACTAAGAGCTGAACACTAGTGCTATAAATTAATATGTCTACAAATTGCCCTCCCTCCTATCAGCTACTGTTCCCTCTGCATTGTCACCAGAGAACTGCAAATTCCCCCTTAATGTGGCAACTTGGAGGTTAAAGGTTCACACAGGAGGCACTCTCCAGACCTGCCGAAGCTCCAAGACAGTGTGGCTTTGCTTCCTCCAGCTCTGAGGCATCTGCAGTCTTTAGTTTTCACAATCATTGCTGGGTCTAGTGGCCTTGCACGGAGACCAGTAGTGTGAGTCTACCACTAGTGGGCCTTGTTTACTGTCACATTCTAAGTATTGCATCACAAGGGGACTTCCCAAGGTCAAGAGTGGGCTCACTGGAGATTTTTAAATGCTGTCCTTCCTAGAATTAAATAACAGATTGTTGAATGGGGATAACACCAGCTCCCAGCTGATGCACTAATGACATTCTGTGTGATATCCACATATCTGCTCATCTAGAAATAATTGGTGAAGGAAAATTCATGATCAATTTCTGCCTAGGCTACCCTGGGCTTGAGACAGCAGTGATCTTAAGCAAGTTTGAATTTTTTTTCCCAGAAAGTTTTCTCACATTTTCAGAACTGAGATAAATAAGGATGATAACAAAGTACTGCCTGCCAAAAACAGACCTTCATCTCAAAGTGCAGGAGAGAGGACTCAGAAGGTCACAGCACTTGCTGCCCATGCATGAGAACTAGAACACGGCTTACACCGATAACCCCAGCATTCCAGAGGACAAAGGTAGAAGGGTTCTGGGGCTTGCTAGCTCCAGGGGCAGTGACATGCCCCATCTTGAGGGAATCAAGTAAAGAGCAATGGAGCAAAATACTCAACGCCCTCTTCTGGCTTCCACAGACGAACAGCCATGTGCACCCACGCACACACATACGTGTTAATTCCTGAGCAAACAAATTGAACCAATGCATCTCAAAGGAACATTTTCAAGGGTTTTTTTTTTCTCCAAGTGAAGATATAAAGCATAAGGTGGAGAATAACAACATCCACCATCTTGAAAGATTTTTAATATGAATTAAACAAATTTTTTATAAAGTGCTTAGGACAGTTTTGCCTCAGAGTAACTGATGTTTGTTAAATAGTATTAAGTACCTGAGATCAAATTTATTATCATAGCCAATCTGTGAGGAAGACAAAACTTCTAACCTGATATCCAAAGAAAGCATTTAAATAGACGTCTAATTCACAAGCCTCCCTATCCAAAACTGACTTAAGTCAACCTTGCCCCTTTCGCCTGTTCCTGTCCCCACCCCATTCTTTTTCCACAAGTCATGCCCATGTAAAAACTACGCACCTTGGACTATTGACTAATTTGGATTTAAACCTTGTCTCATAAGCCCAAAAACAAGAAAAGCAAGATGGATCTCTGCAGTGAAACTCTTAAGCAATAAAGTTATTAGCTGTTCATGAATACCTAGAGTAAAGGGAGGAGAGCAGGGGGGAGCGCGGTGTTGAAGTCAGAGCGCAAAAGCAGCCCACTCTCTGCTCTTCCTGCTAAGGGTTTTGGCAGGAAGTGTGCTCATTTCTCAAGGTATACCCTCGTGGCTGAGTTCCTTCACCTCATCCTCTCCTTCAGATCCCTCCCCAGCAAACTGGAGTTAATAAACTGTGCTGTGTGATGTAATCAGTCCGTACATCATGTATATCATGTAGTATACAGCTAGAACACCAAGAACCTAGTGTAGGAACAGCTCTTCTCAGTTTGGACATCGCTATTCCCTTAAAAGCTTACTTCCTGTATTTATGTGACTGGGCGTGGGGGTAAGGGCGTTGGGTGGGTGGAGAGGCAGATGCCTGCTGGTTGAAAACAGGTAGGCATAGGTACTGTAAGACAAGGAGGACAGTGGGGGGTACCTAAGAGCGCTGAAGCACCAAGCCTGTTCGAAAATTTCCAGAATAAACTTTAGCATGGACTCAGCGCAGGACTCTCAGCAGAAGGCGCCTTGTGCCACCAGAGCCGGTGACGGAAAAGTCCCACAGCAGCCAGGGCCCCCAGATGCCAGCCGGCACACGGTCAGCTCCGGGGCAGCCAGAAGGGGGCCTCGACACAGCTTCTCCTTCACTGAATTCCCCGAGCGGCTTCGGCAGCCTCCACGCTGTGACCTCATTGCCCCTGGACAAGTGTCTCCAGACTCCCGGTCCACCCCACAGACACACCGGCCACTGAAGGAGCTGCAGCGGCGGCGGTCAAAGGGTGGAGAAGGAGCCTCAGATCACCTTGCCTGGGGCGGGGCTACCTCCGGTGCGGCCCACCCAGTCACTCTCATTGGCTGAAGCCGCCGCGGGGGGCGGGGACAGCACACACCCTTCACCGACTCCACGGCTCTGCCGGAACGAGCGTGGGTCCCTCGGCACAGGTGTGTGAGAAACTAGCACCAACCACCAGCCAAGAAAGCTCGGTCCCCAGGCCATGGGGGCACAGCTGAGGCTGCCGCCCGGAGAGCCCTGCCGAGAAGGTGAGCGTCAGCCCCGGCTGCTGGAGAGCTGGGGACACCTGTCACTTTGGGTAGCCGGGAGCCCAGATGCGCGGTCTCTATCCCACTAGACCCAAGCGGGTGCGCGGGTTCTGAACGCGGTCCTCCAGCCGTTCAGTCGGCTGTCCCGCCAGCGGGCCAGTGAGGGCCCAGCCGGCTCCGCCGCGCTCCAGGCTCCGTGGGGAAGCCCGAGAGGGAGCCAGGCAGACGTGACGCACGCTCGGTTCCCGGGCGGATCCCCGGGCTTGACAGAGGAGGACGTTTGTTCTGACTCAGCCTCACAGGTTCAGAGTCCACGGTCCACGCCACCGGCCGGGCGGAGGGCGTGCCGGGGAACCCGCGGGCTGCGCCCTGAGCGACCTGTGCCAGGGTCCCGGTGACAGGTCCCTCGGCACGGGGAGGCCAGGGCCGGACTGGTCCCTGCCATCCACGTGGCTGCTCTGCCTTCGAAGTCTCCCACCCCGAGCTAGGAGTAGGACTTGCCTGGGCAGTTTCTTGAGTAGGGCGACTACTGAAACAGGGAACTGGGCGTACCCTTCTGTAAATTCTTGCGGGCCAGGCTTAAATGTACAGCCTCCATAAACTTGTCCCATAAACTCCGTGGGCCGGGCCCCTTGCCCTTCGGCGGGGGTTCCCCACATCCCCTGGCTTCCTGCAGCCTCAGAAGGTGCAAGTGAACTGGACTGAAGGTAGGGAATGGAGTGGGGCAGGCTTGGGAAATGCGCATTGCAAATAAAATTATCATTTTTCACGGTGTTATGGCAAAGGCCAATGACTACAAGAGGGCAAAGAGCTGTCTGACGAGAACCTCACTTTAGGGTGGTTCCCAAGCTACCGCTACAACCCTTTAATACAGTTCCTCGTGCTGTGGAGACCTCCCAACCATAGCTACTGCGTTGCTGCTTAATAACTGTAATTTTGGTAATGTTATGAGTATAATGTATCTGATATGCGACGCGTGTAAAAAAAAAAAAAGTCGTTGGATCCCAAAGGGGTCGAGACCCACAGGTTGAGAACCTGTGTTTTAGAAGTTCCTGGCAACATCCTTTAGGTCCTTTTTCTTGGCTTCTCCCGTTTATAGCTTAATGGGGGGCGATAAAAAGGAGAGAAGGGAGGAAGAGCGGGAACTCATCAAAAACCTTAGAAAGGGAAGGACATGTATAAGAGAACGCTGCAACAACCCACAAACTTGCCCCAAATTGAGACTGGTGGTCCCTAAGGAAGCGCATCTAGAGTCATGTAGTTAATCATGTTGTAGTTGGTTCCCTTTCCAAATAATTCTGAAGCCACTAAGTCAGAGCGGCATTAATGCACCCTGCCCTTGTTTGTTCAGGGATCTGTACGGAGACTGCACCCACTCATTTGACCTCTGGATATTTTTCCTGCTTTACTCATACATACGTTTAGTAACAACAAGAAATGTTGGGGCTCTGTTTCACCTCTGTGATTAATTGTGCAGGAAGTTTTTTGAGAAAGACAGGAGAGGTTACATTGTATTCTCAGTAGTGGGAGACCCGGTATTAGCCTCAGAGCGTCCCCTTGGCTCCCGTTCTTTCTATCTAAAACGGCAAGGAATCTTATGGTTGACCCTCAGAGTAGGTGCCAGAGGCGAGATACCTCAGAAATCCGCAGGGGGCAGAGCCTGACAGGGCTTAAACAGAGTCTGCTTGATTGGTTTGTTTGAGGTGGCGAACAAGAGTCCTGTGAGTCAAGCACTGGCCAAGGTCTCAGGATAGGATTGTCATTAGTCTGGCGCAAGAACTCCCAAGGAGTTCACTACCCTGATGACAGGTAGTTCCGCAGAAGCAAATGACCCGTTAGTGGGCCTGTTATAATAATGATGAATATGCCACCGCAACATATTTTGATATAAAGGATGTTTATTGTGGGATAGGGAGAAGGTGGGGAAAGGGAGGTGCCCATGACAGAGAGCAAGAGAGCCAGAAAGACAGAAGAAACAGAGAGCTTGTGTAAGAGGGAGGGAGGAGAGTAAGAGAGCAAGGGGCTGGGTCCTCTTATAAGCCACACACCTGGTGCACACCTGGCGGGGGCAGGTGATGATGTCAGAGGTCGCTAGGACCCTGACAGTCCCCTGAAGGCAAGCCAGCTGAGGGAGTCTCCTGTTACTCTAATATTCCTCCCTTTAAATAAAGAGAGAGAGAAAGAGAGAGAGAGAGAGGACTTTAGGAAGAGGTGATAAGGTGGGAATGGGGACATTATGTTCAAAAAGGCTGCTTCCTGCTGACCTGAGGGCGACGGCATCTTTGGGGACCCTAAGAGAATGGGGGATTAGCAAAGTGCTGGGAGAACTGGCTGTTTTCCTACTGTCCAGAGTCTGTGAGAACATCTGTAAGAGCACATTGTAAGAAAAGGCAGTAGATACACATCTTTGTGTCATAGCTTGGGAAGTTATGTTGGGTGAACAGCATGAACAGTCTCTGAGGTGAACTCAGGGAAGGCAGAAGCCTTCTGTAAAGTAGAAAAGGCAAAATCTCACTTGATCTTGATTTTAAGCATGATTACACATCATGAAAGAGGGGCTTCTCCCTTCTACCCACAAGAGTGGATGTATATAAATGTCTAGCACAATAAGAAATATTTTAAGTCTATATTTTAAAGGCAAACCAAAGGAATTTAAAAATCTTGAGCTTGGAACCATGATAGTAAATTATATAGTGGATTTTTTTTTTTTTTTACCAGAGTTAAATAAATAAATCAGAGCTCTGGTGATTAGTGTCAAAGCTCTGAATAGGCCTAATACCACAGTAGCATAGCAACAGGAAGAAATGTGAATCACTTTCTCATAACTATCTAGACTTTCACTTGTATTTGTTAACCTTAAAACACCCTTTTAGACCCTAAAATACTTTCTTAGGTCCTCACAGCTTAAGCTTCTGTGTCCTTGGGCCATACATAAGCTTTTCATCTTTCTTCCTACACAATTCTTGATCATGAGACACAGGTGAGGCTGTTGGGAGCATCATTGTCCTTTAGCTAAAGGAAATAGCAAAAAGTTACATCTGAGACTTTTTTCCTGAGTCTGATAACAAGGTGGACTGTATGTAGATCTAGCGGCAGCATCTCTGAGAGGACCGAGAAGTCATCTGAAGCCTTGGATTCTGCTGTCAAACTGATTAAACTTTCACTAACTAGCCTTTAAACCCGTCAGAGACCTGAGATAAGGAGCAGGGTCTTTGCAAAGGAAGCAGGTTCCATCCACTCCCACGACAGAAGGTGGCAATGTGACCGGGGACCCGAATGTGAGGTTAAAACAGACCTGCAGCATCACCCTAGGGGATGGAGCTTGCTGAGTCTGCAAGCTATCAGACCTCCATCAGGCCAAGGAGCTTGATGGCTGGAAGTGTCTATGGTGCCTGTACTGGTTGGGTTGGGCCTCCAGGGCCGGGCATGGAGGGCAAGCCCACATGGGAGCACTCTGACTTGCAGGGCCAGGCTGCTGGCGGGCAGGGCATGGCTTGGTGGGCTGCCAAGGGCTGGAGCATCCGCAGGATTAGTGTCTTTCCTGGCCACCTTTGAAACAGGTCCTTGGCAGAGTTGGTTTAGGCTGGACCCCAGTGAGATGGGGTGGAGAAGATCTCTCTGCCCAATCTTTCAAATATTGACTCCGAGTTATGAGTTTTAACCATATCCTGTTTTCGACCCTGAGAAATGGTGAACAATAACCTGTTTCTGGAGTCAGTGATGGTGTAGAACAGTATAAAACCACTTTAAAATTAATTTGAATTTATTATACCAAATCCACTGGCTGGAAAACCTAGAGATGAACCCCAAACACAGACAGCTAGCTGCAGGAGGAAGAAACAGCATTCATTATACACCCAAGTTCTAGCAAAGACATAAGTAGTTGTACATACATTTTAAATCAGAATAGACCTGTTTAACCTTGAAAGCTCACCATCATAGAATGAACATTTTGAGCCAGGGTTGAATCACATATACAGTATGTTGCAGTATGTTTGAATTTCTATAAAAATCATAACAACTTAAAAAAAAAAAGACTTGTTGTTTTCTTGGTCTAAAAAGAGATAAAATAATAGAGAGTTTATTAAAACTACGAAGCTTTATAATTATTGTTTTTTACCATAAGGTCTTTTTAAGATTGAGTCACATGGCAGGTTATAGGCCATGTGGTCAATCTGACTGTTTACATACACATTCACACACATACACATGTCCTAAACAAGAGTTGAACTTAGATTTTAAATACCATGCCCATAAGCAAATTGTAAGTCCTTAGATAAGAGTTCACAGTATAATCTTAAGATGCATATTTTTATTTTGAAAGCACAGTGTAAAGAAACCAGAGAAAAAAAGATTTGTTAAATGTTGGGAAGTAGAACTTTAGAGAGGAGAGACTTTGGGAACATAGAACAGAGTTTTAGATCTCTGGAAATCACTTGTCTGTGGTTATAAGAACTTGGAAATTTGGTGTGCACTTTTTTTTTTTTTTTTTTTTTGCTTTTGTGTGCAGCCAGGTTTTTTTGTAATAGAGAGTCCATTGAAGGGGGAAAGGGAAGAGCACCCACCTGCAGTCCTGCTACAGCAGGGGTGTGGGGCAAGTGCTAAAGGTCCAGGGTCCACGAAGAGGGGCCTTCATGAAGGAAATTAGCCTGAGCATCCTTCATGCAAAGCGCTTAGTATCCGAAGTATTTCAAATTTCAGATGTCTTGGGATTGGGGAAATATTTACAAGTACATAATGAGACATCTTGGGAATGGGATCCAGAGCTGAACAATGATTTCACACACATCTCATGTAAAAATTGTACATGTTTCTGAAGGTAATTTTATACAATATTTCAAAATAATTTTTTAGATAAAACAGAGTTTCCTGATTTGGAATTTTTTTCAGTAATGTCATGTCAGTGCTGAAAAGCTTCATGTTTTGTAGCATTTGGGACTTTGGATGATGGATGTCCAACCTGAAGTGCCTCTGTATGAAAGAGGCCTGGAAGCTCACCC